TCGTTAGTTTGTTTTAAATTCGAATTGGGATGAAATATTTTCTTTACATTTGGAAGGGTATTTATATCTTTTCACCTTTAATTTTTAATGTTAAGAAGATTATCTTCTATATAAAAGAGACTTTAACACTTAAAGTTTGGAAGTTAAACCTCCAACTTTGCTCTCGTTTGGTACACATTAAGCCAACAAAATGTATTATTTCTGTCAAATCATGAACAGTGGCACCAATTGAATGACCTGTAATTCATTTGACTTCTACTCGTCAATTGTTACACCACAATTATTTGATTATATTCTTATACACGAGATGCATTTTGTGAACAGTGGAAATTGATTTCATTTGACGTTTAGAATTTTTCGTCTTTGCCAAATTATGAATATGGTTCAATTTCTTAAAATGAAATTAATATCTTGTTACAGTAAATCCCGCAGTTCACATATTGTTCGTAATGAATGATAATACGTGCAACAAATGAATCGATCGACTTTCCCACGTGAGAACACGGCTCTAGTTTTTGCAAAGGAGACTCTAGATAAAAAAAATTACATTGTCACGGTTGCTGTGCCATGTAATCGCGAAGTCTGTCCTAATCACTTCGAGGAATTTTCGGAGCGTTCATTTCAGTATGCATTTCATCATCAGCGGTTGGTAGCTCTATCTCGGAAGCGTACTCATCCGTTTTTACTATACGAAACGCCTCGTCCATCACTCTAGAACGTAGTAGAAAATTACGAATACCCATCGTCGTGACAACAACGGCAACTTGAGTGCGAAACGAATAGCTTGGCATACGATCGAGGATTTGTCATCTTTGCTTCCACACACCAAATGCACGTTCAATGAAATTCCTACAGGATGAGTGTTTGTAATTAAACCTCACACAAGCATTACGAAAACAACGACGATGAACTGTTCCATCGTGGCGAAACTCTTGAAAATTGTACAAAATATCCGATCCTTTGTAAGGGGCTATATATCCCTGTCGATGTACAAATTTGGAGTCAACTAAATAATATTTTCCCGGTGTTCTTAATGAGAAATGAATTTCTGAATTATGTATAGCACGGGATAGTATATGAGCGTCTTACGTATTCCCGATTATGCCAGCAAGCACGAAGGTGAAGCACAAATTAAAGTCACAAACCGCCAATACGTTTTGCGTTGGCATTCCTTTTCGGCCAATGAAGTTCACTCGCTCGTGACGCGGTTGCACAACTTTTACATGTGTTCCATCAATAGCATCAATGCAATCTTAAAACAAGGAATGCTTATTCGGGTCCGGCCTGTGGGCCACTTCGCCCTCGTTTTAGTTTGGTCTTGGCTGTATGAGCCGACCAGATAATGCAACGACGGCACGGAGAACCTCATTGAAGTAGTGACATACTGTTTATAATGAATGATTGAAAATCGTTGTCACCTGCCGGTATCCCTTTCATTGCGCTAATACGCTCAAGAACATATCGACTTGCTGGCTACTGCGTATGCCGTATTCGTCCCTTAAGATATGTGTAAAGTGTCTCAATTACTGTGGGTGCATCCGAAATTCTTGATAGCACATTTCTGCGTTCTCTTCCATTGTTTCCTTCATAAACATATGGCTGTTTCTTGCGAAAGGAAATCGTCAGATGCGGCATTGTTGTTTGCAATAGTAGTTTCTCGCGTCACATGATGCTATTCAACAATATATTACCCATTTCATGCCGTCGTCTGCTAGTTGGCTAACGAACTCTTCATCATCGACTTCGTCTTCAACTTCGAATCCTATAGAAGCGCATAGTTGAAGTCGAGATAGTCCATCGGGTAATTGTAGACTTAGAAATATTTTCGCTAGTAGATTCGGGTAAGAGGAGAAGAAATAAACGCCTCATCAAAGTGGAAAGGTGTGTTACCAACATATTATCCAACCCGAATGGAACTTGTATATATATCCACGTTCCATCAATTCCAGGCACGTGTTTTTGATTTCATAACATTTCTCCTATACTGCATGTCAAGTTTGAAAAGTAAAGGCTCGTTCTACCATACTGCATGTGAAGTTTGAAACAATGAAAGCTGATTCTACTATACTACATGTGACCCTTTCTTGTAGTGTTCTGGTTTGGTTCCTAATACAAACAACTAAAAACAAAATAACAAAACCACATGCAAATTCTGTCCACTACCTATTCACTCCCATGAGATATTGTAAAATTTAAAATTACAGATCAAGCTAATTTATATACAAGAAAAACTATAAATCTTATATATTAATACAATAAAAAAAATAAAGAAAGATTGCAAAAACGACAATGGAGTTCGGTTAGTACATAACTTAATGACCGGACTTGTAACGCTCGTTCAACTGCCACTCAATCCATTCAAATTTCTCATCTGCGTCCTGCATTACGCCGAGCATGTCTCGATATTTCTTCTGTACAAGAAACGTACAAGTAAAGAAGTACATAGGCATGCATCGTTTGAGCCTTCATGCCTCTAGCAACTCCTCCACGCAGGCCACTCCAGCGTTCTTTTCCGTGGCCATAATTGTGTTTATCTTCACCGCCACTTCCTCGGCAGCATTGTTCGCTAGATCAAATGAGTAAGACAAATCCTTTGCTGAAACTTTCTTCTTATTTCCTTTACGGGTGTTCGTCCCCGACTTTCTCTTATTGTCGCTACGGGGTTTAGAAGCGTTAATGCTAGAGGTACAGTTCCCCACGTCACCCTCGTCACTCGAACTAGTGCTCTCCACGTTGATAGGGATTGTATCCATGTGGTCTTCGGCTACACTATCCTCAAACAAACGTAATCTTGTACGACATAACTTCGTAGGGTTCACTGCATACTTATCCCCTTCATAGCTATCTCCGAAAAGCTGATGATATCGGGTGTATATCTCACTGATATCTTTGTCCTTGAAGTCCTACAATATCAATAGACCCAATGTTCAAATTCTCAAAACATGGTCCTCGATTTCATTCCTTCAGAAGTGTAAGGGTTCCAAACAATTGACCACCACTTTACTCAATTTTCGAAAGTACAGGAGATTCTTAACAAGTGGATATGAGGTACAAGAGGAGGAAACTCATGCTATCCACGACAAATAATATACTATCAAAGGTAACTACCATTTATCCCAAAACAATTCGTGCGTAATTCCGGATTTGAAGTAGCACAGTAAGTCAGCTAAATTACCTTGATTTTTCTGTTCCACCATTCCTCAGATTCAACAATTCGGCCATCATATGGTTGTACTGGACCCCCGTACAGGATAACAGTTCGGTGAACCGTTTGTGCTCCCGACGTATTGCGACCCAGTGGTTGCGAAGTTGGATTTGGCTCCAATTGTGGTTGGATATGGAGTTGAACAACGTGGCGACACGATCACAACCAGCTTTCGTGAAACACTTTCCATGACGATGGATGTTTCACAGGTCGCTATGAAGGTTCGTCTCTCTGCATCTCTGCATCTTGCATATTTTTTGAGGCTTCAGCCAGCGAGCAATCATCAACAGCGACGGAGGAAACAAGCTGGTGAATAGTACCAATATGTGGGATGGAGAAATGGTTGTTGAAGCAACTGAAACAGAAGTAGAAAAAAAAAACCAAATGGAAAAAAACAAATGAAAAAATGTCTGGCCCCTGTTTGTGTATGGTACCTGCGGATTGAATGGATCCACTTTCGGGAGAATAGGTTGAAGAGGCCGTCTTCTCACCTGTGTACGAAATGTGAAAGTGATGGGGTCCAAGTAAAGATTGATTCACGGTGGTGGTACAACGGGTGAAACCTCTCACCAGATGGTCATTACCATAAGTGGTAATTGGAGGAAAAAAAATTGCGCTTCACGTGTCATACAAAGCTGTGCGTTTTTTCATTTACAAAGTATGGAAATACACACAAAAAATTACTTACTTGAAAAAAGAACATTGCAGGACAGAGTCCTCGCTTGTGGTCGGAGAGCTTCAACTTGAAACCCAAGACAAATTGGTTAGAAACAAACGGCAGGTCCAGGAGTTGGGTTGCAGCACGAGAGAAGGTGGAGAAGGGGCTGGCAGTTGCTCCACTTCTTACTGGGAAAATGGAGATGATGGTTATGGCTTGTCGCAATTATAGCTCTAGGAGAGAGCAGATTCAACTTGAAACCCAAGAGAAATTGGCAATATGTGAAACAAACTTCAGTTCCTGGACTCGGGTGAAGCAAGACAGAAAGCGGAGAAGGCAGTAGCACCAATGGTTACCAGAAAAATGGAAGTGGTGGCTACAATCCTCGTAATTGTTTGTGAAGGAGAGAGAAGAAATCTTTTTTCCCAAATGTGTCGGTGATGAAGATTGGGGATAAAGGTAAAGTTGGCAAACCGTTTTGGAGCAGGTACTATTTGGACAATGAATGGCCTACAAGTTGTCGAGAGACTTACTTTATAACATTCCATTTTCATATAATTCAACAAAAAAAGGTGGCCCAAACATAATCTCTCTCTCTTTAAGTTCATGTTTGACAACCATACTTTTTAAACTAATTTTTTTACATATTCATTTTTCAATCATACATTCACATAATAAAATAATTTGCACGTAAATCAAAAAATTTTTCCTACGTTTTAATTATAAATTATCCTAAAAATTACTATTGAAAACTCATTTTTCCAAAAGTATGGTTGTCAAACAGGGGATAAATTTTCCGTCTATATTTATAAATTTTTCATATATATATATGTGTGTGTGTAGGTTTTTTTGTAAACTATGTTAAAAGTTAAATGAATGTTGATTGAAAAATTGCGAATTTCAATTAATTTTGATTTACATTTTTAGCTGAACAAGATGGGAGTATTTTATCAAAATATATGCAATTCTTATCTATTCGTAACTAATCTGCTAAAAATCACACTAAGTTCCCAACTAAATTTAAATTACACAAACAAACTGCAATTTAGTTATTCTTCCCGCCTCCCCCTCGCAATACAATACACATACAACTCCGTCTATGCTCTCTCTACACTCTACACTCCAATACAAACTGATATGGGACCTAAGAACCGAAAAATTTCTACTCGCATCAAATCCTCCCGGGCACCACCAGCCGCGGCTACCGTCGACGGTGGCGAAAACCCCAAGCCGACACAATTAGAAAGCAGCAGCAGCATAGAAGGAACCACTTCATCTTCCTATGATTCAATCAAGCTCGAGTGCGAGAAAGCCTTCACTACTCTGCGCCGAGGGAACCACGTGAAAGCCCTAAAGTGGATGAAGGATTTGTGCTCTAAACACGAGAATTCTGCCTTCGTTCACCATGTCATGGGGACCGTTTTTGCCAAGATAGCCTTGGATACAAATGACCCGAATGCCAAACAACGGCATTTGAACGATGCTACAGAGAGCGCAAGGAAGTCAGTGACACTGTCCCCGAATTCTGTTGAATTCTCTCTTTTTTATGCAAATTCCTTGTTGGACATAGAAAATGAGAAGAATGGGTATCAGGGGGTGGTGCAGGAGTGCCAGAGGGCATTGGCAATTGAAAGCCCCACGGACCCAGCGAAGGAGACCCTACGAGAGGGGAATTTTCAGAAGATTTCCACGGCCGAGGCTCGAGTTGCCCACGTGAAGAGAGCGTTGCGTTCTTTGATTCAGAAAATAAAGAAGTACATTGCATCTGAGCACCATCACAAAATTTCGAGTGAGTTACAGTCTTTAATTCAGCAGACGAACATTGTATCCATTTCATCTAGGATGAAAAATCTGGGTCATGAAGAGCAGACGCATTTAACGAGGGTCCTTGAGGACGCAATAGAATTGGGACAGATGCAAGGGATTAAGAAGATATTTAAGACTATTGAGGAACGTAGGAAGGAGATTGAGTTGAGTGCGACTGCTGCTAAGCTTCTGCAGCAGAAATCTGAGTTCCTTCAGGATGGGGATGTAAGGATTTCGCCTGGAACTCTTAAGATAAGGATTTCAGATCTGAAGGCACATTTTAGTGAGGAAGAATCAGTGATTGAGATTCTTAATGATGCCTTATCTTTTAAGCGAGAAAATAAGGAATGGAAGTTTTGGCTGTGCTGTTGCTGCAACCAGAAATTTGCTGATGCAGATTCATACTGGAATCATTTTTTGCAGGAGCATTTAGGGACTTCATTACCCACACTTCAGTCAGTTATACCCTATAGAGTGGAAAATGCGTGGGTTGAGATCCTTCTTAATTGTTCTTGGAAACCAATGGATCTAAATGCTGCAATCACAATGCTTGAAGAACGGTCAAAATTTGATGCAACTAATTTTCTCGATAAGAAGTACACAAGAAACGTAAAAGATGATATCCACGAAAGCAAGAAGTTGGAAGATGATAATAAAGACCTAAAGATAAGTTTCCTTCATAAAAGCAAGCCTTCAACTGATGACACAAACCGTGTGAAGCTCCTGGAAAGAATCCATACCTCATTTGAATGGCTTATCAATTGCAACTATCTCGCCTCAGGTCATGTTAGCAAGGTTATACACTTCGTAGTTAAGGCTCTATCTGATGGTTGTCATCTTCTTAACTATAGCGTAGACCAAACTCTTGTGTGTATCTGCTTTCTGGATCGTCCTGCTCTTCAGAAAATCGATCTTCTTTTCCAGGAAATTTTGCATGAAAGTTTTTCTTGTAAAGTAGATAAATATTTTGATAAACGTTGCACTCAGGTTGTTGACATTGTGGAGAAGATATTTTTAACATCAGATGAATTACTTTTGGTGCTTGACGAGGCTTTTCTTGCCTGTAAGCTCAATTCCTCATCACGCTGTGATACTGGTAGTTTTGTTTCTACTTCAGCAACTTCATCGCACAGCTTGTATGAGAACAAGGATAACGTACCTGATTCAGATGCATTAATGTCCTGGATATTTTCAGTCCCCCCGGGTGGGGGACTATTGACATCCTGGACATGTGAAAGGGAAGAGAGAGCATATCGAGGTAAAAAAATTCTTCAGTTATTTGAGGAGGAAAGTCACAACCTGCAGAAATTGTGTTATAGAAAATATGAGCATTTAAGATACGATGAGGCATTGCAGGCTGTGGAGAATCTTTGTTGCCAGGAGAGAATTAACAGAGAGCAGATTAAAGATTATGTCCCCCGAAGTTATGAATCTATCATAAGGAAGCGGCAAGAAGAGCTCAATGGAAGTGACAATGGAAACACCATTATAAGCAATAGTTTTGAGTTGGCTGCATTAACAAATGTTTTGAAAGATGTAGAGTCATTGAAGTTAAACAAGTTTGGATTTGAGGAAAACTATGTTGCCGTGGAACCTCATCTTTGCAATGTAAAATCTGGTGAAGATGGCGATGGGAGAGCAAAAGACTACTTGCAGCAGGACTCCTACATAGAAGTTCAACTACAGAGACAGAAAGACCGTGAGTTTATTGAGGTTGGTGTGATAGTTCTACTTTTTATCCTTTTGTTATTAGACCAATTTATGTGTACATTTTGCTGCTTTATCTCACTTTTCTCAACGATCCAGCTCTATAAAATTGATGAAAGGATCATACGAGCCAATAATTTGATGCAGCAGTTCAAAGTTTACCTTCACCATGCAGCTGCCCATGATTTCAGATCAATCTTGGTGCCTCTAGTGAAATCATATGGGCAGGTTGTATCTGACCTAGTCTTTTTGGACATACCCCACTTAACTTTTCTTGTGTCCTTTTCCAGTTGAATTAGAGGTTCTTTTGTTCGCCTTTTCCAGGCACATGTAAAGAATCTGCGAAAGAAAGATGCCAAAAAGAAATCTAAGGCTGCCAAAGAAGCATCTTCAGTTGAACTTTCTCTTGATTCTAAACATGTGCATGAGAGGATGAAGGATAAGGAAAACAAGGATTCAGAGGTTTTAACTGTGTGATGATTTCTAATGGATATTTATCATATATTACTTTTGCACAGTTATCAGTACTTCTTTGCACTCCAACTTTTGCAGGCTACTGGTGATAATGCACTGTCTATGATTAGTGATCAGACATCTGAAGAGATGTAAGTCTCTCTTTTACCTGAAAGCCTATCCATCTGCATGCTCTCCATGTATTTCAAAAAGTATCTCTTTTTCAGATATGTTTAATATCTTACTGTTTCTTATCTCACTGCAGATCACATATTACTGCTGAGGATGACGATGACAATGATCCTAAAGCTGCAATTCCTTTTGCTGTAACTGAAGTTGCTTTAAAACAACAGGAAGAGGAATACAAGCATGGACTCAGACTTGAATTCGATGACAGAAAGCTTGAAGAAACTATGGAATATGAAAGACAAATTGAAAAGGAGACAAAACAGAAGCGTCTTGCAGAGCGACCTGTATCTTCAGAAAAGGAAAATGATAAAGTTGGTAAGCTGAGATCTAAGCACACTCCTGATAGCGAAGGAGGAGTGTACTTTATTTCAGTACAAATAATGGTGTATGTATCTGAGATGTAGCTGAGATTTATGAATTCAATTCAGTTTTAGTGAGTTCACTTTCTAATCTTCAAATTTTTTACAATGCTATGTAAATTTAGCTTTGTATTCTCTTATTTATTTTTTCTTGATCCATATCCTTTTCATTCTTCCATTTAATAGTGAATCTTCTCAATTTGTTAATCTAGCATTATGTCTCTATATTACTGACATTAAAATTAAGAACCGAAATGGGAACTCCTTTGCCTTGGCGGCCTGAGGTAGATTATATCCATAGATCATAATTTCATATAATTGTATTCAATTTTTTATTTTTGTATTTCTCCATGTCCTTGTTCTCTGTGTGGTTCTGTTAATTCTCTTAGAAAGCAAAACTGATGCACGAACTCTATTGCTGTGTCCCAATTGAATCTGAAACGTTATGTAGACTGGTAGCAATTTGTCTATCATTTTATCCATCCCTGTGAGTTCTACGGAATGAAACTGACCCTGAATATCTACATATATGAACAAATAAGGTGAATGAAGTTGCTTTGTTTATTTCCTCTAGATGCTCTGCAGTTTATTCAGTATTTTACGTCAGACACATTTCATGCATATTCAATATTGCCTTTAATGTTGAATTCAGCATTGTCACAAAAGAAGCAGCCAGAATTGGATGTTTTGGACTTTCCATCAAATAAAGTCAGTGAAGATGGTGATATTAGAATGGATACATATGGCCCAGGTCTGGAAAATGAAGTTGTTGAATATAATTGCTTTCTCAACGCCATAATACAGGTTTTTATTGGAGAGCATGCTTTTTAATTGTTGTTTCCTAAGAGTTCTTTCTCTACATTTATCATAGTAATAATTTTCCTTGACCTAAGATAATGATTATTTTCTGGAATTCAGTCCTTGTGGCACCTAAGACGGTTTCGAGATGAATTTTTGAAATCATCGTCTTGGCATGTTCATTTTGGTGATCCTTGTGCTATATGTGCTCTATCTGATATCTTCATTTCTCTGAGAACTCCATCTATGAATACTAGAAGAGAAGCTGTTGATCCTACTTATTTGAGGGTTGCTCTGAGCAAACTGTATCCTGATGGTAAATTTTTCCACGAGGTAAATCACACAGCTGATGCAATGGATTTCTTTGCTAATTATTTTTAGTATAATTTGTGTTTCATCATTTCTTTAACGTCATAAATTCAGAAATTGTTTCTGAATTCCTCATTAATAATGTGGCAAATCTGCAAAACAGATGAATGTTGATTCTGAGGAACTTGGGAAAATATTTGATGGTAAATTCTTACAGGAGGTAAATCACACAGCTGATGCAATGGAACTCTTTGCTAATTATTTCAGTATAATTTGTGTTTCATCATTTCTTTAACATCATGAATTCAGGAATTGTTTCTAAATTCCTCATAAATACTGTGGCAAATCTGCAAAACAGATTAATGATGCTTCTGAGGTGCTTGGGGTAATATTTGAATGTCTTCACCAATCAATGCCATGTGAACTTGTACCAATGGGCTCCTGGGGTCGCAAGTGGTTATCTTGTATTCCGCATTCTGTTTTTGGAATGGACATAATTGAAAGAATGAACTGCGACAATTGCGATTTGGAGTCCAGACATCTAAATTATACAACATATTTTCATAATATCAATGCTAGAGCTCTTACAACAATGAAGGCATGTCTTTTTAGATGATACTTTCTCTAATAATGGTGCTACTCCTCGTGGTAGATAAATATGTAATTCATAAAAAATCGTGGTCGATTCATGAAATTTAATTGCTAAAAAGTATTTATCTTCGCCACTTTAGGTCATGCACAAAGGAAAGTCCTTTGACGAGCTTTTAAATCTGGTTGAGATGACTCGCCAGTTAGCTTGTGGCTGTGGAAAACTCAACCACATTCACCATTTTCTGTCAGCTCAACCCCGTATTTTCATAACTGGTAAACTTTTCATTTCATTTAATTCTTTTGCTATTTTTGTCTTTAGCTGAATGTAGTAAACTGAATCGTGGTGCTACTTTTATACTTGGATCGTGTGAAGTGCTAAATGCAGTGCGTGTTTTTTCATTTCGTAGTTCTGGGTTGGCAGAATAATTGTGAAAGTGTCGATGTCATAACAGAAACATTAGCAGCCTTGTCTACTGAGATTGATATCAGTGTGATTTATCATGGTCTTGATCGAAAAAGTATATATTGCTTGGTTTCCGTGGTACGCTTACTTAAGTCTTTCTCTATGCAGTTTCTATTTTCTATATTTTGCTTTCGTGGACTTACTTGTTTTACATTGTAGATGTCACAACAAAAGCCGACTATTGATTTGAACTGAATCTGAGAAGGAAAATTTGTAATCAAATATGCATTATCATCTTGTTAGGCACCGAAATTGGTACTCCTGATATTAATTATAGTCCATGTTTGGTTAAAATTGATTAAAATATAAGTCAAAGTCTTTAAATCTACTGTTTGCCTTCTTTTCAGAGTTAGATGATAGCTAAAAACTAGCAACATTAAACCCCTGAGTCCCATTTTTTAAAAATTCATTTTCAATTACACATTCTCTCAATAAAATAAATTTTCTTCACTCTTTAACCACAAATTCTCCAAAAAAAATACTAGTACAAACCCTATTTTCACAACAAAATGGGGCTTAGACAGGGGCTAAATGATTGCAATTTGAATTACTTTCATCTTATGAACATTTTGTTCTTCAGTGGGACGTGCCTCTTAAGCGAGCTTGTATTTTCTGATTAATCGCTATTCTTGTAGCACTTTTTTCATTTTATTCAACTCGACCTTATCTTATATTTAACCCTCTTTAGTCAAGCCTAAACGCTTAGAACAACTGGTGTGACTCCACTGTTTTCCTTACTAGTGTATATTCTGTGTTAGTTCTATGCTACTGCTTGGCATAGTTACTCTACATTTCAAGTTGCATATATGAAATTCTAATTGCAATTTGTCTTATCCTCTAATGATTTAAACTATTTCATTAGTTTGAATAATACATTACATGCACCTAGACACTTCATCTTAGATGTTAAGTCAACTCATTCATGACCAAAGTGGAAACATAAAGACCCCACGAAAAACTTGAATTTCAGTCCAGAACAAGTCAAAAAATTTCACCACTAGTAGTAGATCTCATACTTCTATTATGCATATAAATAATATTAACAGATGTAACATATCTACAACTCAAGTTGGCGCTTCTTTGGGGCTTTCAATCAAAATACTTATTCTAAATTATATATATATATATTAGAAGATCAAGATGGTTCTAATACTACCTACTTGATCCTAGATCATTGCTATTACCTCTTATGCTAGGTTTTTAATGCAGCTTGTTATCTCATCCACGAGAAACTACTACTTCTATTGTGCAATTTTTTTTTGAAATCTATTAGCATTCTAATGTTGAAGAAGCTTGAAGTCAAGAACCTATATTTGATGTAGATATAACTCATTTGTTTTCCCTTTCTACTGGTCACATTTATGTTTGCTATATATATATATATATATATATTAGAAGATCAAGATGGTTCTAATACTACCTACTTGATCCTAGATCATTGCTATTACCTCTTATGCTAGGTTCTTAATGCAGCTCGTTATCTCATCCACGAGAAGCTACTACTTCTGTTGTGTAATTTTTTTGAAACTCTATTAGCATTCTAATGTTGAAGAACCTTGAAGTCGAGAACCCATTTTTGACGTAGATTTAACTTATTTGTTTTCCCTTTCTACTCTGGTCACATTTAGGTTTGCTGTTATAAGCAGCACTATATTTGTTTTGCCTACAGTCGAGAATCTGAACAGTGGATCATGTATGATAACGAAACTGTTGAGGTAAAATTGCGATCTATTGTCATGTAATCCTTCATTTTCCTTTTTGTAGTTAGTCTATGATTGATATTTGATGTCTAGGTAATTGGTGGTTGGAATGACGTAGTTTCCATGTGTGAAAGAGGATGCCAGCAACCCCAAGTCCTCTTTTTTGAAGCTGTAAACTAGTACTAAACTGGATTTGAATGTGCTAGTTGATGCACTGAAGATATGCAGTCCAGCTTCGGCTCATCATTCAGCCTTGAACACGATGCATTGTGATATCTGCCTGTGCTGATTTTTTAGGTAAATTTGCAACTGTACTTTCTGATACTACAATGTCAAAATGATGGCCGGAGTTGTATGATAAAATCAAGATTTTTTGTTTTACAATGACCAGAAATTGGAGCAATTATGTGTAAGAAAAGGAATAAAATTTGAAAAAAGGATATCAATGCAGATAGAAAAAATAGAAAACGGGTTTTGATGCTCACTGGTGGCTCAGCAAAATTGGGTTTTCCTTGGCTGCTTTCTTCTGATTCTGCGTTCTTTCTAACTTGTATTGTTAAGGATTGAATAGTAACAACAACCTTGATTTCTTAATGGCAACTAGCACCTACTCTTGATAGTACTGATTGTATACAGAAGTTTCTTGTACTTGGATTCATATATCTGATTGTTCTCCAGAGGAAACTGTGTATAAATGTTAGTTTTTTGGTGAGACACCATTGCAAAGAACAGGGCACGCCCTCACTATAGGCGGTGTAGGCATTCACACCTAATATAACGCCCCGAGTTCTGTGAACCCGGAGTGCCACATCATCGTCTTTTGCCTTAATTTAACTAAAAAATTTTGCGGAAATAACTAATTTTTAAACATCACATTTAATAATTGTGAACTTCAAAAGAAACAAACTAATTTGATTTATTTAAGAAAATTGATTAAACTTTAAATCTCAAGTATTATGAAATAACTGAAATGACAAGTAAGG